TATGTCTACACATGGAAAGTGGAATAAGTGGAAATTAAAAGTAAAATTCACACCAGGGCAGGCCAGAAACATGTGCAAGGAGCAGCTCACTGCACCAGGCCTCAGGTGCTACCCACAGTGGGGTGCCCAACAGTGGCAACGAAGCTCAACAACCCAAAATGCTTAACTTTGGGCATCAAGGTGGCCTGAGAGGGGCAGCGCCCAGTGTATCTCTTTCCTTTACCTAATCTAGACCACTTCTACGTTTTTATGTTGACTTTTGACTGGCAGGACCCTATTGTAGCAACAGGCTTGGGGGTTTTGCAAGGCAAAGCAGACAGGCTTGCAAGGTAGCAGCAGGGCAAGTGCTATGGGATGTTGTACTGCTCCTTAACTGGGAACTACTGCAAGGGCAGTGCAAAGCAGAGCACCTCACACTGTGCCTGTGCTTCTTTCAGCCCCTGTGCATGCAGCTGCCTTCCCGCAAGTGGCTCTCTGGGTCCCAGCTGGTCAGCAGCATGTGCGAAGTGATAGACAAGTATGCAAAGGACTTCTCCCGCGTCAGGAAACCCATCTTCATGGTACAGTTGCTGCAGGGCATCCCTCATGCATCCTCCAAGTGGCTGCTCATCTGTAGGGCTAGGGGGTGGGGCAGTTGGGTGCCGTGCTGGGATGCAGCCCAGAGCCAGCAGGATGCTGGGAGGGAAACGGAGGTTCAGGGACGCATCCTGCTCGAGAAGCAGTTTGGTCTTGCAGGAAAGTTTCCAGATCACAGTCACTGAGGGATGTGCTGAAGAGCCTGTCTCCTCTGGAGCAGCCCAGAGGGCACCATTGCATAGAGCTACTCAGGGTTCCCCCCCAAGCTCAGCTGGCCTCTCTGTCTGCTCTGGCCAGTTGCAAGGGGGCTTCCCAGTAAGCTGTCCCCACTGCTTGGCATCGCGTTTGGTCTCCTTCCCCTCTGCCTTTTCCCAGGCAATTCAGGCCTGGCTCCCAGGCTGGTGCCTAGGGTGCCCACAGCAAATGGCTCTCCCCTACCTTGTGCCCAGCTCCTGTTGATGGAGAGCGAGCACCTGGTGACAAGCCAATACCTACGGGCACTCATGCAGAAGAAGATGGTGTGCAAAAGTGAGGAGGAGCGGGGCCAGCTCTGTGACCGCTTGCTGCAGGATGCCACACAGCTTCGGGAACTCTTCCATGGCCTGGTGAGAGAGGCAGCTGAGTGGGGCAGGGAGCCAGGGTTGGGCCACTAGCGGGGACATGGCACAGACCACAAGGCTGCTCCTTAGGGAGGTCAGTGCCCAGCTCAGAGCAAATAGCTCGCAGCATGTCTCTATCACCCTCCTATCCCTCCCCTGCCCCCTGCCACCCCTGGATTAAGAACCTGCAGGACTGTCCATCCTGCCCAGTGCAGGTTGCTGAGGCTGCACAGCCTCATCTCTTATTGGGCTGGGGCCCTGTGCTAGGAGCCAAGCCAGCCCAGACTGCTGGGACGCTGCCAAGCCAGGAGACACCAGCCACAAGCATCCTTTCGGGGGAGGTAGGCAAGCTGCAGGCTGGGGCCCCATGTGGGGCCTGGGTGAGTGCCTCAAGGGCCAGGCTGCATCTCTGCTCCAGCTGCCATAGTGGCCTCCTTCCAGACAGCCCGCTTTCCTTCACAGGGCCTGGACAGGAGCCAGCAGAGCCTCGAGGCTGTGTTTGCCTTGCGTGAGCTGATCTGCCTCAAGGACCCAGCGCTGCTCAGTCTGGAGGTGCTGGGCTTCATCACCAAGTACCCCGATGTCAGGTAGGAAGCCCAGCTCTGCTCCCCCATGAGATGGAACAGATGTGACTCTGCTCAAGGGAGCCAGGCTTGGGCTGGACCTTGTGGGGTTACCCTACAGAGTGTGCAGAGACCTGGGCTTTTTTCCCCCCATCCGTCAGGTTTCCTTTTTCTGTGCTCCAAATTTAAGGGACTCTTGCAAAGTCCCAAGGGCAAAGCTGTAAAGGAAAAAGCAGTTCTGCTGAGGCCTTCACCTCACTGTAGTTGGTGGTCAAAACAAAAATGTGTGAGAAATCACAAAACACCAAATTGGAAGTATCTTAATCAGACCAAACCTATGAAATGGCAAAACCAAAAATCACAAGGTTTGCAGGATTTTTTTCAAACGAATATTAAAGTTTGGCTGGTTTAAAGTGCCAGCTCTACCTTAGCTTCAGCTCTGTTTCCCTGGGTCATGGGAGATTTGCGGTGGGGGACATCAGCACTGCAGGTGGTGAGCTGTGGGGGCCCAGCAAATGGCACAAAAGGCCGCAAAGGATGATGCCATGTGCTGGCTGCACCCGGGCTCACCTCCTGCTCTGCCCAGCGATGAGCATGTCTCCACCTTGCTGGATCTCCGGGGTGACGTCTCTAAGGAGGTGCGACACATGGTGTTGGAAATGATGGCGCAGCACCCCCAGGCCCTGCCTGAGAGCTACCAGCCCATCTTCAGCATAATCCTGGTCCCTGCACCAGAGCTGCCCTTCTGCCTTCGCAAGGGCAAGTGTGCCTGATTGGGGAGCGTCGCAGCCCACTCCCCTGCCTCTCCAGATGTACGAACCAAGCAGGACATCATTGAAGCTTTATGTGGGGCAAAATGGAGATGATACATGGCATTCCCCCATGCACGCAACCCGGGCCTGGGTTAGCAACAGCCTGGACACATGCCCTGCTCCTGTGGTCTTGCCTCACTGAGCGTGCTTTCACCACTACCCCCTTTCCTCACCCTCCCCCCCAAGCACCAGCACCAGTAGACCTGGGGCAGGAGAAGATCAACCTATAGGTCTTTTGCTGGTCTGCTCAGGCAGTAATTTGGGTCTGGTCTGGGCTAGCCTATTGCTTGCAGGAGAAAGTTAAGCAGCAGAGGACAGGAACAGAGACCATAGGTGGGGCGAGCTGTGACAGTGGGGCTGCAGAGATTTTTGGGTTTCCCTGAGTATCCAGACAGCCACCTGAGGCAGAGAGTGTCCTGGCCTTTGACTCTGTTATCCTTCTGGCTCAAGGATGAGCTGGAGCCCTGCTAGACCCAGGCTTGCAGGAGAGTTTTTGCTATATGAGGAGTTCTTCTGTTCTCTATCTATCTGCTTGGCTCAGACCAGAGGGTGGGTCTGCCTTCCCTGTTGCACCAGCCTGGGCTCTGCATGTTTGGGGGGGGGGGGAGGCGGCAGCCCATTCGCCAGCCCATAATGGCTCACCG